AGGCAGGGCGGCAGGAGCCGAGCCACACACAGGAAGCAGAGAGAGGGAACGAGAAGGAAGGGAGGGCCTACAAACTCCGAAAGCCCACTCTCGGTGACATACCTCCTCCAGCAGGCCTGCATCGCCTTCCCACGCAACACCGCAGTCGGGGATTAAGTATTCAAATGTCTGAGCCTGTTCTCACCCAAACCACACCTTGTTTCGCCATCCATTGATGGATGGGCACTTGAAGCCGTGTGAAGAATGCCGCAAAGATCAGGAGTGTACAGCCTTTGTTTGAGACTGTTGGCTTTGAGTGTATGCGCTGATGGAGTTTGGATATGAGACGTGTCTCCCAAAGGTGTGTGTCCAGCCCCGGGAAAGCAAGGAACTCTCCACACACACCTCACAGAAGTAAATACAAGTGGTGCTGGCATCATGCCAACCACTCTTGTTTCTTAGGCCCTCTGGGCAGGCCAGCTCCACAGGTGCCTCGCAGGTTGGCCGTGGTGAGGCCGGGATGAGGAAGCTCCTGCTCTGCTGGACACTCAAGTTTGGAGCAGGGTTCACTCTAGGGTAGACCTGCTTTTCTTTCAATCCAGTTGCCAATAGCAACCAGACCCTTATAAATAAGTGTGAGGGAGATGCCCTGGAGGCTGGCTTGAAGTGTCCCCAAGGAACAAAGCCACACCTGTGTCTTCCAGCGAACATGAGGTTCTTGTCCCTCATGTGTCTTAGTTAGTTCTCGGTTGCTATGCTAAAATACCATGACCAAGGCACCCGAGAGAAGAAAAGGCTTGCTTGGCCTTAGGGTCCCAGAGGAATAAGAAGAGTCCAATTGAGGGGTGCAGAGGTGTGGTATCAGGAACAGGAAGCTGAGAGATCACATCTTGAACCACAAGCAGAGACAGTGAACTGGAAATAGCACAGAGCCTTTTTTCTTATTAATTAGAATTTTCCATTTATTTTGCATTTTGATCACATTTTCCCCTCCCTCTCTTCTCCTGTCCCCGCCACCTCCCCTCTACCCCCCCCCCACTCCTCCTCTGCTTCTGTTCAGAAAGGGGCAGGCCTCCCATGGGTGTCAACAAGACACAGCATATCAAGTTGAGGTAGGACTAAGCTCCTTCCTTTGTACTAAGGCTGGGCAAGGCAACCCAGTACAGGGAATAGGTTCCCAAAAGTCAGCTCAGGAGTTTTTAAACTCTCAAGGCCGATTCAGAGTGACACACTCTATCAAGTCTGCACCTCCCAAACCTTCCCAAACAACCCATGACAAATACGGGAGCCTGTGGGGGACATTCTTGTTCAAACCACCACACGATGAGTCAGCTGGCAAGTTGTTGAGTCCTAGCCAGTAGGGCAGGACCCTTGGCAATGCCAGCAAACAGGAAAGGGCTGGCCGACCACAACAGCTACTGCAATCTCAGCCAGGCCAGGCTGGGCCCCAGAGATCAGTGGAGTCGAAGCCCTGAGGGAGCAGGGCTCTGTCCTTCTGTCCCTGGGCCTGCTGGCTCCTGTCTCCCAGGCCCCTGCAGTAACACTTAGCAGGCTGTGGAATGATGAAAGACTCCACTGCTGTAAACCTCTTGGCCTGGCCTAGAGAAAGCGCCTCCTTAAAGGAAGAGACAGTGAGGGGCCTCCCGCTATGGTCCCACCTGGGGAGGGCTTCTGTCAGGCTCCATCCTGGCAAGACATGGTTCATGTGGTTTTTCCTCCCCGCCTTTCTCTTGTTCTGGTCACTACAGCAGAGGCTGGAGAAAGCTAAACCCAGCAGGGCTCCGTTTGGCGTGGGATTGGGGCGGTCCTAGGAAGCTTACAGTGAAGATGACATCTTAGTGGGAGAGGGGCTCTCTAGAGGCCAGCCTGCCCATATTTTCAAACATGTGCATGCATGTCATTTAACCTGTGAAGGCTCTTCCAGCTTTCCCTTTTAGAGACCCTCATTCGATCCTTTTTAGGATATGCTGAAAATAAAAATTCACCTAATAATATTTGACAAATTAAAGGAAGGAGGAACCGCAAAAGGACTTGCTATTTGCAGTTTAAATTTAAAAGTAATCGTAGGGTTTGGGTTTTTTGTTTGTTTGTTTGATTTTGGTTCTGGGGGCTGACCCCAAGACCTCGCATGCACTCCCCTGCTGAATCAGAACCTCAACCTCGTGTACTTTGGCGAGAAGTGGGGGTAGCCCTGGCAGGCTAAAATTCGCTATGTAGGCTAGGCTGACCTCAAATTCACAAAGCTCTACCTGCCTCTGCTTCCGGGAGTGCTGGGTTTAAAAGCATTGCCACCACATTCTGTTAGCGGACACTTTTTATGAATGTAAAAAGGCCATATTCTGAGGCCTTTTCAGGGAGAGAAACGAGCGCGGTAAAACCCATCCCGATCTGCTCTCTGCTTTGCCTGTTGCGCACAAGTTTACCTTTCTTGCCCCAAAAGGACTAGTACTATCTGGCGAGGTTGGGCCTTGTCTTTTGCCAAGATGCATTTTCCAAAGGGGAGAACGGACTCTTACTTTGGAAAACACCAAGTCCTGTTTGTTTTCTGTTTCTTGAGAAGCCAGCCCTGGAGCGGCTGGCAGCGGCGAGCACAGCTCTCCAGCGTTGTGTAACGGCCAGGGAATCACGTTGCGCCCGCCGCTCCCACAGACTGCAATAATAAGCCCAAGCTTATTCAAATAGGAGAAACCATCCCAGCCAGCTCCGAGTCACGTGTCCGGGTCACATGGCCTGCCAGACAGAGCAGCCGGCTGGCAATCATTAACTAAGGCTTTCTCCCAGGGAGAAAAATGCAGGTTTTAAAGAGGCCGGGACTGCAGGATTGCAATAGAAGGTATCCGGGGTGGGTGGGTGACTTATTCTCTCTAATTGCTTTCTAAAGGAGATGGAAGAGCCCGCAAGCACCCCCTCATTGCTTGCTTTTTTCTCTAGAATTGCCAACTTGTGCTGCGCAGCTTGCTTTTCCAGACCCGCGCGGTAGCCAGGGCCGGAGTATCTGAACCTGGGAGCCAGAATGCTGTCCCAGAGCTGCGAGGACGGACCTCAGAGGAGTCCTGGGTTAAAACTCACGGAGAGCCAGGTGTTCTGTGCCTAAGGAAGTTAGTGCCAGGAGTTCCCCGAGGAGCGAGAGGGTGGGAGGAGGCACGTGCGCCTGTGGGAGCATTTGTGGAGTTTTCATTACCCCGAAATCTTGCGGTTGATAAGACCAGACACTGCCTGCCAGGCGGTTTTCTTGCTCAACCTTTGGATTTGGAAGTTGCTTTCTCCTTCTCTGGGTTGGACAGTGTTCCTTAGTGTTTTCGAAATCTGTGGAGCTGAGTTTGTTTGATTTTAGTATAGAAGTGACAATAATGGGCAGGATAAAAAAGGGCAAAGCTTTGTTGGAGGGAAGAGGGTAAAATGCAGAGAAAGGGCCTTATCAGTAAAACAAAAACAGAAATAAAAGACCACGTGCTTTCAAAATCTCAGAGTTCTAGTTTTCATATCGTGAAAAAGTTATTATTTTTTTTTCTTCCCAAATACAGTGCAGTAAGGTTCTGGTCTTGTGTGGGTGGAATGTGAGGTCAGCCCTGTCTACACAGCAAATCCCAGAACAGCCTAAATTCTACAGTAAGATCCTGTCCCAAAAATAAATAAATGAAATGACCATAGGTGTATCCTGTTGCCTATATAGCCCACCAGTTTATAATGTAGTTAGCCGATTCAGTGATTCTGCGATCCCACGAGAATATATTTGCAGGGTACTAATTCCCTTTCCTTTGGGTTTGTACTCAACAAGAAGACTTGCTTATAAAAAAAATCGATTATTCATGAGCTATATTTGTTGTTCAAGAAATGCAGTAAAATCCCATGTTTCTTAAGTTCTCCAAAAGTAGTTTTACAAGAGTGGGTTTTCATTCGATCTGTTGTTTTAAGACTGCAGTTAAGAGTAGTCTGTCTTAGTATGCGTTCAGCTGCTTGGATAAAACACCGTGATCAAAATCTGCTTGTAAAGAAAAGGGTTATTTCAAGTTTACAACTCTCTGGTCAACGCCATTGCTGATGGAAGTCAGGGCAGCAACTCAAGGCAGGAACCTAGCAGCCGGGATGGGGGAACGATGCTGACTGGCTTGCTCCCCACGGCTTGCTCAGCCTGCTTTCTTATAGAACCCAGATCCACCTGCTCGGGGATGGCACCACCCACGTGAGCTGGGCCCTTCCCCCACCAATCAGTGTGAGATGAGTCTCACTTAACCCAGACTGGTCTCTGTAATAACTCCTCATCCTCCTGAGTGCTGAGATTACAGGCATGCACCCCTGTAGTTGGCCAGTGTTTTGTCTTAGCTGCCCATCACTGAATTAATGGGAGAATGAAAGAATACGAAGAAAGATCCTGGTGAAAAGGAAACGAATGTACTATGGAAGCGGGAGGCATCTTTGATTGAGCAAATTCAGTAATGCTGAATTCTGTTGATAAATTGAAGCATACCAAAAAGTAATTTAGAAAAGCAAAGCCTGGCATGATGGCTCATGATGGCTGTAATCCTAGTGCTTGGGAGTTAGAGGCAAGAGGATCAGGGCTCAGCCAGCCAAGGTGACCAACAGCTTTAATACAGCATTGGAGGTACTCAGGAGGCAGAGGCAGGTAGACCCCTGTGACCTCAAAGCCAGTTTGGTCAATGTAGTTAGTTCTAGGTCTGCTGGGACCACACAGCGAGGCCCTGTCCTAAAAATAAAAGCAAAACAAACAAACAAACCCTAAAAACAAAAACAAACGTTCACAAATGAACAGTCACAAAGAGAGGTTCAGGAATTCATCGTCAGCCTTGGCCAGTTTGAGGCTAGCCTGGGCTGCCTGAGACCAGGTAGCAACAAAGCAAAACAAATCCCCATAGCAACCAATTGGGATGAGTTATGATAGAGACAGAATTTGTGAGACAAAGCTAGAAGCACACAGGGACGACAGCAGAAGTATGCCATTATGAGGGGTGTTGTGTACCCCGGCAGGTGTGACTGAACTGCAGCCATGTGCGGTGAGTGGGTGCCTTCCACACTGGCCTCACCCCATCCCTCGAAAATAACCATCTTCCTTCGGCATGGTCAGAACTGATAAGTTTTGAATCCCCAGTTAATGGAAATCTGCCGCCGATGTAATAAAGCCAATCGAACTGAATTATTAAATCCAGGTTTAATGAACAGAGCAAAGGAACTCCTGGGTAACCGTCAGGTGGGCAGGAGAAGAATCACGTGACAAATATGGCTACCGGGTCTTAAGTAGCCTATAGGTGGGGTCTTGAGCAGCTCCAAGGAGGGGCAGACTTTTGGCTGGCTTTCGGAAGGGCGGAGTTTGAAGAGGGCAGCTCCAGGGGAGGGGCGGCCGTTTGGTGCACTGAGGGTGAGGTTTGGAAGGGGAGGAGCTGAGATCCCAAACAAGGACTGTTTGCTGTTTCGTTCGGCTTCTGACCTGGACTCATGGATGAGTTACAATAAGAACAGCAGCTGCTTTTCTCGCTGTGAGCGAGTGCTCAGGCCCAGGGCGGTGGACATCAGTCGGCACGGGTTCCGCACATGACTTCCAGGCCTTCTGTTTGGTCAGCCGCTGCATCGAGTGCCTTTCTGTGCTCACAGGAAGAACACGAAGCACCCCACCATCGGAGGGGGTCTGTTACAGAGCCCAGGTGCTTGGGCAGAGCATCCTTGCCGAGGAGAGCTACTCGCCTCGTGGCCAACTAGGAAGCAGGAGAAAAGAATCGTGGCTCTTAGGTGATTAAGAATCTCTCCTGGCAGGGTGGTGGTGCTACCTGCTGCCTTTTATCTCAGCACTCAGGAGGCAGAGACAGGCGGATCTCTGAGTTTGAGGCCAGCCTGGTCTACAGAATGGGTTCCAGGATAGCCAGGGCTGCACAGGGAAACCCTGTTTAAAATAAAAGAATCCCAGCCTGGCCCAGTGCTGTAGAGTGGTGGGAGCACTTGCTGTGTGCAGGTTTGCTTCCTGCACACACACACACACACACACACACACACACACACACACACACACACGGTGGCTCACAACCACCCATAATTCCAGTGCCAGGTGATCTGATGTCTTCTTCTGACTTCTGTAGGTACCAGGTACATGGTGCACATACATATATTCAGGCAAAACATTCAAACACAAAAATAAATGTGTGTGTATGTGTGTTTTAGTCCTACAAAGACTTGATAGCAGTGGATGGTCATATGACCCCAAGGCTGGGCATCTGCCTATGCCCCTGAGTGGTCATGCCTGCATGGTATGAACTTGGTATTTAGTAGCGTCATGGCAAATCTGCCTTGCACACTCAAATGTATCTCAGAGTTATTCTCAAGGGCTGGGGCTGTAGCTCGGTGCTGGAGTTCTTGCCTAGTTTATATAAAGCACTACATTCAATCCTGAGCCACCCCCCTACCAAAACCTGGGGACCAAACAATTTAAATGTACTTGTGGTAAGCTTGCCTGGACATCTCATATGGGATAACTGTCCATTTTAAATATCAAATAATAAGAAGTCTCCGGTGGAATTGCAGGACTTAACCTGTGGAAGGTTCCTCTTTCAGAACTGACACTAGGAAGATAAAGAATAGGGGAGCAGGCAGGGCCTCATCCTGGAATTCTGCCCAGCACTCTAACTCACCCCCAGCACGGCTTTCCTACTCACAGCCTGCTTCTCAGGATGACCCCGAGTGGCTGTATTTGGCTTGCTCTGTGAGAAGACCTCTGGGGTTCCGAGTGTCTGCTGTCGGCACACTGGGGAGAGCCTTTCAAAACTGGAGTTAAAACAAAACAAAACACCAAAACCGAACATCTGATTCATGGGAGAGAGGTACAGGGGAGGGGAGGGGGATGGAGGTTGGGGGTGGGAATGGGAAGTAGGAGGGTGTCAGATCTTCCTTTCTCACTGCAGGTATGTGGCAGAAGTCTTGTTTCCAGACTGTGTGCAAGCGGAGTCTCTCCCCGACTTCATTACCTTTAAAGTAATCAGGTAATGGGGCCCATAGGCTGTGTCTAGATTAAGGCCCCACTCCTTTCCCAAAGGCAAAGGTCTCTCTGGGTTTTATCTGCCCGTGCCCCCAACCGTATCCACAGCAGGCGCCTTTTTCCCAGGCTCCCGATAGCCGGCCTCTTAAATATAGCCATTGGCCTTTGCTTTGGGCTCACCCAGCAGAAGGGCTCTTTTTGCTAAATCACTCACTCACTCACTCACTCAGCTCGTCAGGACAGCGTCCTTGACTTTAGAAAAACCGAGTGGGGAAGGAGCCTGGGAGCCCAGACGCACCAATTAGCTGAGTGGAAGGAGCCCAAGAACAGGCAGCAACAGCTCCTGTCCCAGAGGAGAGAGCTCGCCCCGAGGAGTCCTGAGTCCCGACTCAACGAGGTTCCAGCTCAGGGCAAGCAAGTGTGTGGGCACTGGTTCACCAGCGCCGGGCTCTTTTAGCGTCAAGGTCACTGACAGAGGGTGGGCGAAAGGAGCTGTCTGAGCCCTGTAGGCTTATTAGCAGCCTCCCTGGTGTTCACATAATCAGTTACTTCCGGTCTGGCAGTGTGGCTCAGGGTGCAATGTTTCCCTAGCATGTGACGGTTGAAGTCTGTACCCCAGTCTGGTTCCTAAAAAGCTGTGCGACCGTGGACAAGTTCCTTTGCCTCTACCTCAGTTTCCTTACTTGGAATGTGGAATCCATACTATTCTTTTGTAATGGAAGTGTCGCAAATGAAGCCACAAGAAATGTACTACAAAGTAAGTGAGGACCGACCTTCGGGCAAGTCCTATTTTTATGAAATAGAAAAAGATAGGTCTGACCAAACTCCAAATTCTGTCAAACTTGATTTATCAACATGGACATGAAAGGTATTGGATCCCTGGTTATCGGGGATGTATTTAGCCAAAGCAAACCGAATTAATAAATCCAGATTTAATAAACAGCAAAGCAGAGAAGAGCACTCCCAGGTGACCCTCAGGAAGGCAGGAGGGACAGTGTGAGAGTTTGTGGCAGCTCTATGGGCTTAAATAAGCAGTAGGCGGGGTCTTTTGCATCTCACAAGGAGGAGCCACCAATGGTGGGCTTTCTCAGGGGCGGGGTCTGGAATGGGGCTGGTGGAGCTTCCCAACAGGAAATAGCATCAACTTTATTTGTTTAAGCTTTATGGGTTTGTTTGTTTGTTTTTTACAGCAAGGTTTCAGGTCCCAGGCTGGTTCCAATTTTGTTAGCTGAGGTAGAACTGAAGTCCTCCTGCCTATACCACCAAGTGGTATTACAGGCCACCACATCTGGCAACTCTCACTTTTTTTTTTCCAATTCAAAATTTACATGTGGATGTTTTGCCTGTCTGTGTATGCATGCAGTATCTGTGGAGGCCAGAAGAGGGCGTCATATCTCCTGAAACTGAAGTCAGAGTTATGAGCTGCCATGTGGGTGCTGGGAATGAGACCCAGGTCCTGTGCAAGAGCAGCCAGGGCTCCTAACTGCGGAACCATCTCTCCAGCACCTCCCTTTGTTTTTTGAGACAGGGTCTCACACTGTAGTCCAGGTTGACCTTCAGTTCACTGCTTAGCTAAGTCTGGCCTTGAACTCAAGGTGATCCTCCTGCCTCAGTCTCCTTGAATGAATGCTTGTGCAAGAGCAAATCATCATGTTGTGCTAAGAATCAACTTTATCATTTCTCTGTGTGTGTGGGGGTGCTGAGGTAGAACTTGGGACCTTGTGGATGATAAGTAAATGTTCTACCACTGAGCCATCCCTATCCTTTCCCGTGGCTTTCGCTGGGTCAAAGAAATGTCTTCTCCTTAGGAAACTTCCCAGTCACTCCCAAAGCTCTGCTCTGCTCCTCCCCAGCCACCACACTGCTGCCTGAGGGGTTGCTTGGCCATTGGCTCCTGAGTCTGCTAGTCTTGAGCCCTGAGATGTTTCACAAACAATTTAACCCCATCATGTCCACGAAAGGGTTTACTACGGCATTCCGCAAAGGGGAAAGAATTTTGTCTTACTGTGTAGCCAGTGCTGGCCTCCTTACAGCGGATTCTCTGGGGGGAGGGGTGTGTCATATTACAGGCATGTCACAAGTTTATTACTATCCTTTTGTTTGTTTTTTTCAAGATAGGGTCTCTCTGTGTTGCTGTTCTCAAATTCACTCTGTAGACCAGGCTGGCTTCAAACTCACAGAGATCCACCTGCTTTCCCTGTGCATGGATTAAAGATGCGCCACCATTGATTAGAATCGCCTTTTTAAAGGGGGGGGGGAGCTCCAAGTTGTGGCGATACTCTCACCTCAGCCTCCCAAGAGGTAGGATAAAAGATAATTTAAAAACAAAAAGAGAGAGTGGGAAGAAGGGAGAATCAGGAGAACAAGCAGCAAGCTGTCCTGGAATGCTTCTGTAGGACTAAGGGTTAGTGTGTGATGTGGAAAGGTGGCCCTGGCTAAGTCGCCAGGAACCAGCCAGAGGCAGGAAAACAAAGACTACCCTGTCTTGCCACTTGGAAGATGCGGGTATGTCAGTTTGAATTTGCCTGACTTCAAAGCGCAGGGAATGGTGGATATGGAACAATGTAGTAGATACCATTTTCTACAGGGAGATTTTCTGCCTTAAAAATGTTTTTTTTTAACACTTATTTATGAGTGTGTATGTGTGGTGTGCCTGTGGGCGTGTGCTTGCGCGCATGGGAGCAGGGGGCACGTGTGCCATGCACGGCACAGATTGTGGTGATCAGAGGACAACTTTGTGGAGTGGGTTCTAGGAATAGAGTCCAGATCATTACCTCTCCAGCCCTGGGACTTTTTTCTTTTTTATAATTTATTCACCTTCATTTTATGTGTTGGAGTGTTTTGCCTGTGTGTGTATATATGTACCACAAGTGTGTCTGGTGGCCATGGAGGCCAGGAGATGGCATCAGATCCCCTGGAATTGGTGTCACCGGCAGTTCTAAGCTGCCATGTGGGTACTGGGAACCGAACTTGGGTCCACTGAAGAGCAGCCGGGGCCCTTAAGCATCTCTTCAACCCCGCTGAGAATTTCAATGTAGAAAAATCCTGTCTTCTTGGTGGGAAAATTCACCCGTGAGTGTGACATGCTAAGTCGGAGCATCTGCCTTGGCTTCAGGATACTGCAGTTAGGTGGAAGTGGATCTGAGAGATGCTAGCGTGAACCCCTCCCTGGCAACCAGAATGACAACAGCGCTTTCACTGAGCACCGCCTTGCACAACTTAACCTGCTTCCTAGCCAAGGCTCTCCCTCCTGCATGAACAGTCTTGCCAGGCCTGGAAGCCTCTTGGGTACTTCCCCCACAAGTGTGACATCGGAAGTTCAGATCCGTAAACACTGGGATCATTTTAAAAGTTCCGAGGGCACAAACAGATGGTGTGATTCCGACCCAGACGGTCTCATTCTGGCATCTTCGGCAGACAATAAGAGTGACTTCCTCCAAGGAGAAGCCCAGGGTCCAGAGCTCTATAGCTGGAGTCAGCCATGGCCAGCTGTGGATCGCGCAGAAAAGCAGGCCTGACCTTCTGCCCCCTCAGTTCCCTTTCCGCTTCCTTACTCTGACCAGCAATATCCAAGGCCTTGGAATTCTAGCCAAATCTGTTGGCCAGTGGAGAAGAATGAAGGCGTTGGGGCTGCAAGATGACTTATCCCATTTTTTCGATTATTTATTTTTACTTTGCATATGTGAATGTTTGCCTGAATGAATGTGTGTGCGCCACATGTGTGCAATTCCCATTAAGGATGGAAGAGGGTTTAAGAGCCCCAGAAACAGGGCTGGAGAGACGGCTCAGAGGTTAAGAGCACTACCCGCTCTTCCAGAGGCCCTGAGATCAATCCCCAGCAACCACATGATGGCTCACAACCATCTATAATGAGATCTGGTGTTCTCTTCTGGAGTGCAGGCAAACAGGAAGGGCTGTATACATAATAAATAAATCTTAAAAAAAAAGGCCCGGAAACGTATGTATGGACAGTTGTGAGCCACCATGTGTGTGTGCTGAGAATTGAACCCTGGTCCTCTGGAAGCAGTCAGTGCTTTTAATCACTGAGCCATCTCTCCAGCCCCAAGATGACCTATGGCACATGCTGAGTGCTTTTGTTAAAAGGCTCTGGCATAGACAAGGCAATCGCTTTCCTGTGAAGGCTCTTTCCCAGCCCTTTCAAAAAATCTGAGACAGAGTCAATCTGTAGCCCAGGCTGGCCCAGAACTCCCTACCCTATTACCTTTTCTCAAGAGTGCCACATGCCCTGCTTAATTTTTTTTTTATTTTGAAATAATGTTGGACTCACAGACAGGTTAAACTGGCACATAAGGCTTTCATATAGCCCTCACTCAGCTTCCTCTAGTGTCTGAATCTATAATGCTGGCATGACCCAAACCAAGACATTAGCTTTGATAAATTACTGTTATTTATTTATTTATTATTTTTGAAACAGGGTTTCTTTGTATAGCTATGGCTGTCTTGGAACTCACTTTGTAGATCAGGTTGGCCTCGAAGAACTCAGAGAGCCACCTTTCTCTCCCTCCCAAATGCTGGGATTAGAGGTGTGCGCCACCACCGCCTGGCAAATTACTGTTATTTAAAGTACACCAAGTTTCCACCGACGTCCATCCTCGCTGTCTCTCATCGCTTTCTCTCTGTGGCACCGGGCATGGAACCATGGCTCTGCTCACACCGAGGGAGGCTCTCGAGGCTGAGGATACCCCAACCCTGGTGTCTTCTCAACTCCCCATTCCTGGACTGACCTGGGAATCCCACAAGGCATTTAGCTACTTAACTTGGTCTCTCCCAGGTGGTGGCAGATTCTAGGTCTCTTTATTCATGATTTGTCACTGCTCATTATGTTGTGGGCTGTCCCTCCATTAGGGGTGGTCTTCCTCCAATGAAAGCTGCCCACCAAAGCTCCACTCTACATCCCAACCCCCTCAGGCATCCGAGAGTCCAGCTCCCTTCACTCCCTTCTTCACCGGTCTGTACTTGCTGTTCCTGATCAAGGTGACAAGACCCAAACAAACGTCTTCTACTCTGGCTCCTGAGCAGCTGACACTTTCCAAATTGTTTTCTTGCCACCGGATCCCGCAGATGCATACACCGAACAGCTCACGGGCACCGAACAACTCACGGGCACCGAACAAATCCTCCCCCGGCTCCACCCTTTCTTCTTCCTGTGCTCCGTCCCAGGAAACCGCACCACCAAACCCATCAGAAACTGGCAACCGAAGAACTCAGAGCGTGGTTCCAACTTCGGGCCACCAGTTTCCCAACATGAAAAATGGCCTCAGCTGTCTGACCTTACAGGCTTGCTTTTTGGCTAATGATGGTGCTAGTTATGAAAAGCAGTAGTCATTATCACTAACCCTCGTCTGATATGCCCTTATTTTCCTATACTTCCCAAACACATTTTGCATCTGATTTAATTTTCTTGGTCCTCTGATTATTTCTGCTGGGATTTTCCTCCTGACATAGGCTAACAAGGACGAAAGTGCTAAGGTAATAAGCAGACAAGGATCGGAAGAACATACTGGAATTCCTATTTATCTTCTTTTCAATCTCCTATTTAGCCTTTTATTTTTGTGTATGTTATAACTGATTCCATAAAAAATTGAAATAAATACATCCTTGCTGCTTAATAACTTTTCAGTTAATGAGCAACTGTATACATACTGCTGGTTCCTTAAGATTCTAGTAGAGCTGCCGGGGCAGTGGTACACGCTCCTCATCCTCCTCATCCTCCTCCAGAGGTAGGGGCAGGCAGATCTCTCTGAGTTCCAGGCCAGCGATGGCTACATAGTGAGACTGTCTCCCAACCAAACCCAAACCAAACAAAATGAGATTGTAATGGGGCTGAAAACTCCCTGTTACACTGTGTAGGGTAGTAGGTGTGACCTTAGAGGGGAACATATAATATAGGTGAAGATGTCACTGTAAGCAAACCGTTGGTCATTTTGCCAGTTCCATGGAAGCACAGCACAGACAGCCCCACACAGTAAGCAGTACTCGATGATGACGGTTACACACAATGGCCACTTGCTCATGCACTTGTTACATTGTCATTTTTAATATGTATTTATTTTGTGTATAAGTGTATGAGTATGTGCATTGAGTGCAGTACCAGTGGAGGCCAGAAGAGGGTGCTGGATCCCTGGAGCTTGACTTAACAGTAGGCTGTTGCAAGTCACCTAATACGGGTTTTGGGAACTGATCTCATCTCCTGAAAGAGCAGCAAGTGCTCTTAACCACTGAGCCATCTCTTCAGCCTCATTACACTTTCAACTTTATTATCATTATTGTTGCTGTTATTAGTACTGCTATTATTATTATTTTGGTTTTGGGAATGGGCCCCGAGGCTTTCTTTATGTTAAGTATGTGCTCTAAGCTAAGCTATACCTCAGCTTTACTATTATTTTAGAAACTGTTTCTATTTATTAAAGATACTATTAGTGGGCTAGGGAGATAGCTTAGCAGCTAAGAGTGTTTGCGGCTCTTTCAGGGTTCTCTTCCCAAAATGCAGCTTGGTTGACTCACAGCCACCTGTAACTCTATTTCCAGGGGATCCGGTGCCCCCTTCTGGCCTCCGTGGGCACCCATATGGACATGGCAGCCATACATGTCGCAGGTGCATACACATACATACAAGTCAACAGCTCTGAAACAATGAGTGAACTGTGAGCAGCCTGCCCAGCTTCTCCTGCACAACCTGCCACACCTGCTGGTGTTTATAGCGATATTGCATCAGGAGGCCACGTGGAGTGATTGACCGGGGCCATCTGGGGCTGTGATGTTTACCCAGCAGTCAGGCTGACCACCAATGCCTCTTACAATGTGTTCCCGTGTTACCTGATGCTTGATTGAAACTGTTGAAAGTTCACGTTCAAAAGACAGGATTGGGTAAGGTGCCACCACTCTGGCCACCTCCGGCACACTGCTGTTTTGGCAGTGTACCTTTCCACGTCCACCTGAAGATGGTTGTGGCTCAGTCAGGGGTAAATTGCTGACGACCAGATCTACTTCGGCTGGCCATGAGCATGCTAGATGTGTGGGTGGGAGGAGAGCAGCAGCCAAATCCCCCCAAGGCTGTCTCTGTCTGGGAGTTAACTCACCTGCTACATGGGATGTACATCTGTGTATTTCCCTTAGTGATCACCCCACTTCCTTCTCTGCCCTTCCAGACACTGGAACCCAGAGGCACCATCTTGGTCTAGAGAGGCCCTGAGATGGAAGTCAGTCCTAGAAAGAGACCTGAAGTCTAGCATGGGAAGGGTTCAGACGGAGGCCTCACTAGGGCTGGCAGGTCTCGGGTCGGCTTCCAGTGCAGCCTGCAGCCAGCACACGGGAACGATCCCTTTGCCTGTCTCTTACCACGCTGCAGGAGAGCGTATCTTTTAGGCTGTACCTGAGGACGGCCTCAGGCTTCTGATGAGATCATCAGTGTGGGTGTAGATAATAGTTCTGCCTGGTGTAAGTCCAGCTCTCCCTAAGGCCACCACCACCACCACAGCCCTTTCAGACTACGAGAAACAAACTGTTCTAAAGGGCTCACAGGGTTTAGGTGTCAGAGCCAAGTTTGTGAGCAGAGACCAAAGGGCACAGTAGAAGGATGTGGAGAACAAAGGTGTTCGGATGGGAATCCACGCTGTGTATTTACCGGTGGTCTGACTTTGGCCGCATCTTCTCTTTCTACTCCTCCTCCTCAGTTCCTGTTTATTGCTCTGAAGGGGATTGAGCCAGGGAGAATGAGTTGAAGAAATGAGTGGACGAAAGTCTCGCGTAACAGCCAAGTTTATTCAGAGCATTGGACAATTTGTCCTCCAAAGAGGATTCACACGAGTAAAATGCACAACCAGGGGGACAAGTCACATGAGGGCAGAAACATGCTTTTCCATAGAGGCACATAAACAAGTAAGGATAGCCAGGGGTGATAAACTGAAGTGAACTCACTCCCATTGGCTACGCCTGGGAGGGGCGTGACAGCACATTCCAAGAACAGTTCTGTGGTTTTGAAGAAACTGAGGTTACAAGACTCTGTCTTGTTTTCTTGGGGTTTGTAACATGAGGGCCAGCTTGTTGGGGTATCTGTTCCACCTGGTGCCCCACAGCCGGCAAGCCCCAAAGAAAATCACACAGAAATCTCCATAAGTTATCAAACTGATTGACCCATTAGCTCAGGCTTCTTATTAGCTCTTATAGCTTATATTAACCCATTATTCTTATCTATGTTAGCCGCATGGATAGGTACCTTTCTCAGCGGGGCAGCTTACATCTTGCCTCTTCGGTGACCTGGGCAGAACTGCGGAGGGAGCTTCCCGCTTCCCAGAACACTCCTGTTCTTATCACCCCACCTCTACTTCCTGTCTGGTTGACCCACCTATACTTCCTGCCTGGCCAATCAGCGTTTATTCAAAATAAACAGACTGACAGAATACAGACAATTCTCCTGCACCAGGGGTTTTCTCACAAACAGAATTCTCCTCACATGATCTCACATGATTCCATTCTTGGACCGTGTTCCCATGACCCATCTTTTCTCCAGACAAGTTCTTGATCTTGTTGAACTCATGGTTATCCACTTTGGCTCCTTAGTGCTGGGATTACTCGTGTGGCACAACATGGACTATGAAGGTGGTTTTTTTTTTTTGATTTACTATTTATTTATCTGAGACAGGGTCTCACTATGCAGCTCTGGCGGCCTCCTGGGTGTGTGAGTATGTGCACATCAGGGCTAGTATCCATGGAGCTCAAGGCATGGGGTCTCCTGGAGCTGGAGTTACAGGTGGCTACTATGAGCTTCCAGAAACGGGTACTGGGATCCTATATGAGAGCAGCAAATGCTCTTAACTGATGAACCATCTCTCCAACCCCACTACATTCATTAAAAAAAAAAAAAATCTTTGCTTGACCCAGTTTCTTCAGTTTCATCCTTGCCATAGAGCAGTGGTTCTCAACCTTCCAAATACTGTGATCCTTTAGTACAAAGGTCCTAAGCTCAATTCCCAGCAGCCACACGGTGGCTCACAACCACCTGTAATGAGGTCTGGTGCCCTCCAGAGGAAGAGACCTGGTCAGTCGTCCTCATCCACTAAGACCATGAAACCCAATATGGACAAGTTCAACAGAACCGCCATATACGGGCTGCCCATGCATGCATTTTTTAAAAAACGAATTGCAATGTAAATATCTGATAAGAAGGATATTTGATACATTTGAGAATTGCTGTCATAGCGACTTGTGACGATTTGATGAAGGTGTTTGGTGTCTGCTCTCTAGGGGTTGTTGATGCTTAGAAAAACAGACCATCAGGCATGGTGTCATCCCTCATGGTTGACTTTGCACGTGACCTTGAACATCACCTGCTCATCTCGGTCTCATCCAGCCTGGAAAAAAAAAGCCTCTTTTGGTTTATTTGTTTTTAAATTTTATTGTTTTAATTTTATAAGTATAGATATTTTGCCTGCATGTATGTTTGTGCACTACATGCATGCTTGGTACCCAGGGAGTTTAGAAGACGGTGTTGGATCCTCTGTGACTAGAGTTAGAGACAGCTGTGAGCCTCTCTGTGGATGCGGGGAACTGAACCCAGGTCCTCTGGAAGAGCAGCAGTGCTCTTAACCACCAAACCATCTCTGGGCCCATTGCTGCCCAGCTGTCGGGAGGCAGGGAGGCCAGTAATTGCAAACTATTCCTTTGCCTTCTCAGTTTGTTTTTGGAATGCGGCAGAACATAAAAGAATGGCTTCGCGAGTTATATGTATTTATTAAGTTACCATTAGGTACTGAAGATAGAGCAAGGAGTGACAAGCCTCGCTCTCAAGAGTCTCACAGTCAAGGGCATGAGGGGGACAAGCACAGAACTACAGGACAAGTTCATGTTCAAGGTCTCAGGCTATATCCATGGGGCAAAGAGTCGGAAGAGGGGCATCTGAAGAGCTACAAACGTCTTCAAAGGTGGGAGGTGAACAAAAGTTATGAGGGAACCCCAGGACCGCTGAGAGGTGTGTTGAGCAGGAGGTGGGGCTTCCTGGGTGACTCGAGAGGCTTAGGCAGCTGGGTGGATGGTCATGTTTCCAGCCACACTTGTGTTGAACATAGCGACACAATTATGGGTTATTCTTAGTGACTTCTGCTGGGTCACTTCTGCCTCTGGAGTTATTTAATTATCCTATCTTATTTTTTTTCCAATTAAAATTCTTTCCTACAGCCAGCAGGAGCTGTGGCTAAGAACAGGATGAGGGCAGAAGTCTTCATTTCTCTTTATATTTAAT